GACAGAGCCTTATATTTCATGGACCGGATCTAGACACCGAAACACGGTGGTTTCCGAGACTTGGTCATGACCGAGGTGCACAACACTCGGTATTCCGTCCACCCAGGTTCAGATAAGATGTATCTGGATCTTAAAAAGCTATATTGGTGGCCTAATATGAAAGCAAAGATTGCTACTTTCGTGAGTAAATGCCTTACTTGCGCAAAGGTTAAGGTTGAGTACCAGAAGCTCTCTGGTTTATTGCAATAACCATAGATCCCGGAATGGAAGTGGGAGCGGATCACTATGGACTTCATAACCAAGTTGCCCGAGACAACGGGTGGACTTGACACCATATGGGTCATCGTTGATAGATTGACCAAGTCTGCACACTTCCTGCCTATCAAAGAAACCGACAAGATGGAGAAACTTACGAGAACATACATTAGGGAAATCGTACGGCTACATGGTGTACCTATGTCCATTATCTCCGATAGAGATAGTAGGTTCACCTCAAGATTCTGGCAATCACTGCAACATTCCCTAGGAACAAGGCTAGACATGAGCATAGCCTACCATCCTCAGACCGACCGACAGAGTGAGAGGACCATCCAAACACTGGAAGATATGTTGCGGGCCTGTGTGATTGATTTCAGGAAAGCATGGGATACTCATTTACCCCTTGTCGAGTTTTCCTATAATAACAGTTATCACACGAGCATCAAGGTTGCTCCATTTGAAGCTCTCTACGGCCGAAAGTGCAGATCCCCTCTGTGTTGGGTTGAGGTGGGTGATACCCAATTAGCTAGGGGGCAAGCTTCCGACAGTACTCTCACTGGTCCGGAAATCATTCGGGAAGCGACAGAGAAGATCGTTCAGATCCGTGAACGATTGAAAGCCTCTAGAGACTGACAGAAGAGCTACGCTGATAAACGAAGAAAACCTTTGGAATTTCAGGTGGGAGACCGAGTCCTTCTCAAAGTCTCACCCTGGAAGGGCTTGATACGCCTCGGCAAGCGTGGGAAGCTTAATCCGAGGTACATAGGGCCTTTCGAGATTCTTGCAAGAGTCGGCCCCGTAGCTTACAAACTCGACCTACCCGACACACTTCGTAACGTACATTCTACATTCCACGTATCTAACTTGAAATAGTGTCTATCCGACGAGACTCTTGTAATCCCACTCGACGAGATCGAGATCAACGAGAGCCTCAACTTCGTGGAGGAACCAATAGAAATCATGGACCGAGACGTCAAGCAAACCAAGCAAAGTCACATCCCTATCATGAAGGTCCGCTGGAATGCAAAGCCAGGACCTGAATTCACCTGGGAATGCAAAGATCAGATGCAACGCAAGTACCCACATCTGTTTCCCTAATCCACAAGTGTTTTCTTACTTTAAAATTTCGGGACGAAATTCCCTCTATCGGGGGGATGATGTGACAACCCGATATTTCAACTCTTTGTAGTGACCTAAAAAGTCAAGTATTGTAACCACTTCTGAGTTAATAAAATTAACATTGATAATAAAATGTCCAAAAAGTTTTTATTTAAATTCTTCTATGTTTAAATGTCATCAAACCATGATCGTACGTAAAAAAAGAACGCCCAAATCCGACTTCATATATTGAAGTTATGATTTTTCCAAGTTCAGCTTAGCAACAGACAGCTAAAAACTCGAATCGGAGATCGAGCGACTTTTGGGCGCAATGACCTAAACGAGAATCGAAGGTCTCGTCAAGGGTATTTCAGCGGTAAAAAGTCTGGCAAAAACCGACGTCAGATAAAGAAGTTATGAATTTTTAAATAAATTCCTTAATCATGTCATTTTAATAAATAAATAATAAAAATAATTACGAAATTTGCCAATGGAATCTAAACGAAAGTTGTAGATCGTAGTCTCACCTTCGCGGGGATATAAAGAACGTCGAAAACGGAGTTCGTATGAAGGAGATATGAATTTCTGAAGTTTGATAATTAATTTATATATAATTTTTATTAAAAAGTTGGTATTATCCGAAGCAGAGGCAGCCTAGGGCCGAGGTACGCGCCGCGTACCCTCGTACGCCCCGCGTACACGAGGGCACGGGCCCGGATCGTCCACGTCGCCCTATGCGAAGCTACCTACCCGTCCCATCCGACCCGCCCCGTCCCATCCGTCCCGTCCGAAGCACTACAGCCGAGGATGCGGTCAGCAGTGACGTCCCGTACGCGCCGTGTACGGGAGTACGCCCTGCGTACGCATGCCTCTCAGCCCCCTATAAAAGGAATGCGAGCCTTTCCGAAAACCTTGCTCATTTCTTCTCATTTCCCTTGCGTTTTGCCTCATTTTCCGTGCCCGCTCTACCCCGAAGCTCTGGTCTTTTTGCTCAAGTCCTAAGGGTCGATTTTACTCGCGAGATTCCCGAGAATCCCGAGGAAAATCCATTTCCCAAGACGAAACTCTGCCCGGTTTTCCATCTCGCTATCTTCAAACTTTCAAGTGAGTTTCATACCCCTTAATCAACCTTTTTAAATATTCTAAATGCTTTTATATGCTCTCAAAGGGGAGAATACAAGTAAACACACGAGTATTATCGTGGGTTACATAAATAATTATTTTATATGCTTTTATATATATCGAAACCGCATGTGATTTATAAACTATATAGGGAACTTTCATATATATAAAACATGTTATATTCTATCTTTGGAAATATAAATTGTTGTATTGCATGTATAAACTAAACTTTTCTTAGATTTTATGTATACTTGTCTATTTTAGTCTTTACAAAATCTACGCTTTCATAACAAATGATTCCTTTTCTAGGTATTTCTAAACAAACGAAACACACTTTTAGAAAACTATAATAGATATAGTTTTACGAACAAATTTCTAACTCCTTCGTACTAGAAACATGAATTTCAAGAAGTCACTTTTGTATACAAGAACAAACGAAATATTTTAACAAGTAGATCTGTTTTTATACCACGGTTTTGTGAGACACTAACTTCACGTACGTTCGAGTACACATTTCAAGTCCTGTATTATATACCAAAATCCCTTGGAGGGGGAGCATGGTGTTTGTGTATAGATCTATACGGGCTTGACAACCCGCGCCCTGACTGTTAGCTACAGTCCACCGTTTGGGGTGACAAACGTCATAACATTCCAACGCCTGAAGAACGTTGTGTATAGGCATTCCGAGTCAATAGTATGGTTATAAAACTCACATGGGGTATCAAAAATGCATTGATTTACAAGGTTTTCAAACACATTGGTTATTTTACACTTACATACATTTTAGAAACAAACATTGGTCTTAAGTGAAGGCTACTTTTATACTAGTAGAAAATATAGGATTTTCTAAACACAAACAAACGAAGATAAAACATTTCATTTCATACAAACATTGTCATTTAAATACTTATGAAACTCACCAGCTTAAATGCTGATCTACTCTTTCAAAAATTACTTGTATGTCCCAGGGATTCAGTAACTACAGGTATCATATTGCTTTTGATGAAGAGATGCTGCGGCGCCAGTTTAAATCTCATATTTTGACATCATATTTGTAATTGATTTTGAACATGTAACGTTTGACAAATGTAAAACTTTCAATTATATATATATATGATGGTTGTATTGCTTTCTTTACTATGTATTCACTTGTTTCGCTACCACATGAAGTCATCCGCCCCCGAATGTTTCCGCCGTTCAGGTTTGGGGGTGTCACAATATTCATCCTTATGTAACCGTGATAAAACTTAGTGGAGATGTAGAGTGTGTAAATGTACTATGTATACAACCCATATTGTATTAAGCCATGCCTGGCCTTATTTGTCTAAACCTAAAGTACCATGTAATTGTCTATATTTTTGTGTTAACGAGATATATATATATATATATATATATATATATATATATATATATATATAGAGAGAGAGAGAGAGAGAGAGAGAGACAGATAGAGAGAGAGAGAGAGAGAGAGATTACATACGGAAGTATTAATTTTGGCATCTAAATGATTCCCAAGTGCAAGAATCTTCACATCATAGAGTTTCCTTTTCGGGGAAGATTAAATCATGAAAATAGAGCTAGCTATAACGAGTATAAATATAATATCCTTTAATGAGTTCAAATAGAAGAGCCCCAAAGGATCTCGTCATCATGAGAACTCTTAAATTCTAAAATGGTTCATTATCATATAAGTATAGAAATGACCCCATGATCTCCTCATCATGAGAGACCTTAAAGGTCGATAATTTGACTTATTAAGGTAACTAGGTTTTTGGTATGTCCACATATGGGTAATATTGTTTTTTTGTACTCATTTACCCAACTAACTTTTTTCAGCCGTTCACAAATAACCAACATTACCAACTATTACTTGTTTTAGATGGTTACATCGATTTATCTTAGTTAAACGCATTACATGGAATCTTACGTGGCCATTACACCTTTTTTAATTTAATTAGGATTCGTCATTGTCAGCTTAGGACAAGCTCCAAAAACACACCTTGATTACCTTCTTTTGTGAGAAATCAATCGATACAACAAATCAAGGATTAGGGTTCAAAATTGAAGGTATGAGTTGAAGTCGACTTTTAACATCGCATCCTCATCTACATGTATGTATGTAGCTGTAAACTTTCATACAAGGGAATATTTTCACCAAAACCCATTGTTGTACTTAGATCACGTAAAAGAAATTGTACGTGATGTGGATTTTGGGAGATTTACATATAAAGAGTTTCTTTTATTGCTTACAAAATTAACCAAAGGAGCATGTGATAATGTCTACTACTATATTAGAAAAGAAAGCTTGGATGAGGGTATTAGAAGAATCAACAGTCAGGCTGATTATTTGGAGTTTGTGGAATCTGTTTATAGTCTTTAGAGTGGGTTATATATGAACATTGACCACCAAAATGAACCGATTCTTGATTTTGCTTATAAACAAGTAGTTAGCAGATGGTAAAGGTTATGAGTCGGATCATTTGGATGAAGAGGATGAAAAGTATTCTGAACTTTAAGAGACAATGGAATATGAACATGGATGTGATGAAGAGGTCCATACTTTTGATAAAACTTTTAGAGACCCATTCTTGGACAAACTTTCGGGACATATAAGTGATGATGATGAAGAGGAAGAAAATAATGGAAAAGATATGTATGTTGTGTTCCCTGTCCATAATGAGAATCAAGAATGGGAGTAAATGCTGTCAGTTTTGGGTATGAAGTTTTCTAACCCATTGGAATTGAAGTTGTGTGTCACCAACTATGTAGTTAAAAATGGATATGATTTATGTTATGAAAAAAGTGATCATTAAAGGTGATTGGTAAAATGTTGTAAAGGTAAGACAAATAAGCAGAATATAGGTTGTCGCTTTAGGTTGTGGGCAACCTAGATGACTAGTGAAAAATCATTCCAGATTAAATTTATAAATGATAGGCATAATTGTCCAAGAGTCTTCAAACTTTGGTCGATTATTACCTATAAATGGATAGAAAATCATTTCATGAATAAGATAAACCCAAATATGAGTATAAGGAAGTTGAAAGCTAAAGTAAGCACGGAATTTAATTTGATTGCAAGTGTTCGACAATGTAGAAATGCAAGGAAGTATGCATTTCAGGAGATAGAGGGTTCTTTAACAAAACATTATGCGAAAACATGGAGCTATGGAGAAGAGATAAAAAGGACTAACCCTAGATCTTCAAAGGTAAGTGATTTAATATGTTTTATCCTTGTATATGTGTGTCCTTTAACATGTTTCTCCTTATATATGTTTGTCCTTAATTACGTGTATGTAGATAAGTTTTGGAAAGTTATACCATCTAGTTATCAGCAGTATGAAGTCAGATTTGGATATTGCACGTGTTGTGGACCTTGGTAATAGGACATATACCTACAGAACTTGGTAGTTAACAGGTTACCGTTGTGTTCTGGGTATGCTTGCATTTCAAGCCTCAACAGGGATGTGGAGGAGTATGCGTCACCATGGTTTGCCACAACAATGTTCTTAAATTGTTATAAGTATACCATTAACCCACTCAATGGTAGTGACATGTGGCCTTATGTAGACTACATCAAACCATTGCCCCCCCCCCCCCCAAAAAAAAAAAAATGAGAAGGCTACCAGAAAGAGTATCAACAAAAAGGATCAGATTGAGAGGGAAAACCAAGGGAAAAAGCATTCAGTCACAAAAAGAGGTAGTGTAATGAAATGGAACATATGTTGGGAAAGTATGCATAATAGAACCACATGTCCTCAAAAACCAATTGAGGAATCATCAAATCCAAGTTCAAAGAAAAAGCAACCCAAGAAAGCTGGTATGTTTGATATATATATATATATATATATATATATATATATATATATATATATATATATATATATATATATATTGTATAACTTAACATATTTGGCATAACTTAACTTTTCAAGTATTGCAAAATAGGTAACGTGAAGGTTGCATTCGAACATGAAGTTGATATAGAAAGTGACAGTGAAGTTGAAATGGATCTTGATAGTGAAGTGGAGTCTTTTGATGATGAATTTGAAGATGGTGTGATTCAGGAACACGCTCGAGCTCAACCTGAAGATGATGTTGAATTTGAAGATCAAGCAGATGATGTTATTTAGGAACAAGCTCAAGCTCAACCTGAAGATGATATTGAAGTTCAAGATGAAGCGCAAGTTCAAATTGAAGATGATAACCACATTGTAGTTCAAGATCAAAAGGAAGAGATCATGCAGGAAGTACCAGGCTTTCAATTTGTAGTAGGACCAGAGGGAAAGGAAACCTTCAGAAAGAAATATACAGATTAAGATAAGAAAGAGGTGGGAGGGGAAACAGGGAAGCAGTGGTGTCAATTCGTATGAGTTGGAATAACTTTTGGCTTCTTGGAATCTTGTTAATGTTTTGGCATCTTTTCCATGCATCTTTTAACTTTGGAATCTTTTGGCAGTAATGCATGTTTAAGTGTGTAATGTTTTACTTTTTGCACATCTTTTGGCCATAATGAATGTTTAATTGTGTTATGTATAACTCTTGACACATCTTTTGAAATCAACGTTCTTTGGAATCTTTTAACATCTATATTCTAATACCATTTGTAATGTTTATAATTTCTTACCATCTTTTATAATGCCAAGTGTAATCACAATTCCATTACAATGTTTGTATAATTCCATTCCAATGATTCAATACATTCAAATCATATAATGTAACCTTTTTCATTCAAAACATCAGAAAGGATACATAATTTAGTTATACTAAATCATAAACTACAAATTTAAAATAACAAATTTTACATACAAGAGAAACAACACAATCAATGCAAGTCTATAAGTAAACAATTTCTAATTGACTTTGTCCAGTTCTTATTTATTAATGTTCTTCTCTTGTTCTATCTTCATCCTGCATATGCTGATTTCATTCTCTAATGTACACATTTTCAAGGTAAGAATGCAACTTTTGTCTGGTTTCATCTTGTAATGCCTTCTTCCATCTTTCCTCCCTTCATCATCATCCAACCATTGCCAAAATTTACATCTTGAACTTTTTCCATATTTCAAGAAATTTATAAAGACAGGTTAAATTGAAGGATGATGAAGAAGTAAAAAAAATTAAAAATCATTTACCTGTGAGTTTTGACAACCTTTGAATTTCCTTCCAGGATTATCGGGGGTTCTTGATGTCTTCACACGAGATGGCAAGTCGTAATCACATGGATGATCCGGTTGCAATTCGTCTTCTCGTTTGTAAGAAAAAGAAGAGGAAGAAGATGCCATCAATTGATCTAAGGTTTTATTTAATGAACAGTCGTATCTCACCCTTCTTAAAATGTAAACCATGACAAATACATACAATGCCATGTAGGTGATAAGTATTACAATGTAGAAGTCACACAGATGTCATATCAACCAAAACCTATGTTAGTCGGTAATGTTGGTTATTTGTGAACGGCTGAAATAAGTTAGTTGGGTAATTGAGTAAAAAAAAAACAATATTACCCCTATGTGAACATACCAAAATCTTAGCTACCTTAATAAGTAAAATTCCCTTAAAGGTCTATTAAGTTCATACCACAACACTGCATCCGCATGGATTCCTTTTTACAAAAGATTTTATGTTCTTTGTTAAAACTTTGAGATTTCATTAGTAACTTGATGCTATGGTAAATCCTGCCATGAGATTGCATTCCTTGTGACTGAAGTCTCATTGCACCTTTATTGGCGTGATTTGCCAATTCAAATAGATACGAAATCAATATTTACGCAATCGTGACATTTCGTTTTCACCTATTACGTGGGACCAAGATGTTGTCAAACTTTTGACAATGTGTAACAAATAAAATAGATTTTTTTTCATTTTTCTAAATTTATTGCCAACTCTTTTTAGTATAGAATACAAGATTTATTTATTTAATTACAACAAAATCACCGTCCTCAAAGTTAATAATGACATCAATTCACATGTACATCCCACGAACCAACACAATTATGTACATTCAACACAATTTTAAAATCTAACATTTCGATCCACCGCATCTAGCATTAAGTAAGAATACACAATCTGAATATGCATAAATAAAATTAAATATTACGAAAACTTGTTTCTATATGATCATTTCTACAAGAAAAGCTATTGCAATAAAATACAGAGATTGAAATAATTCTGTTGGCATGATGTATGCCCACATGAGATTACTAAATAATTGATCACTAGAGTCAACTGATCCATGTGCAATACAATTTTCCATTCTTTCCGTTGCAAAATTTTAAACCAAGATTTCAAGTTTAGCATGATCCTCCCACATGTTTCAATCAACATGAATGTACCTTGATGTACATATACATATATTCAATAATTATAAATATCGTACAAGAATTAAAATAAACTACGTTCTGATGCTTAAGATATTAGCTGTAGCTTGAGATATATATGGAGGCGACGAGGAACAAAAAAACATGAGGTTGAAAATTCAATATTTGGGACTTTGGGTTCTCAGCTGTGAATATTTAATTCCAAATTTTCATTATTATTTGGTGTCATAATTTATTTGATTTCCCATGTAAATTGCATGAAATCATGGATTTTGATCTATATTATAGGTTATTATTTTGGATTCTAAACTAGATTATGACCCGTGTATAAATTAAATACATATCACATTAATATGTGATTTTGTCTTAGCTTGAATTTTAATAAAAAATGGTTAGTTAGATTCATTTTAAGAGTTTTTGAACCAAACTTATTTGATAAAAATATTTAATATTTATATTAGAGCAATTTGTTTTTATAATACAATAATTTTTAACGTAAATGATCTATGTGATCCTTGTTTTATCACAATATAATGCGACTTCTTGATTAAAATATGTTGTGTATTAGCTTATTAATTGACTTTGTTCGGTGTACTAACACCCATGTAGGCTCATATGGTTCTTTTCATATTAGTCATGTAAAACCAAAAGCAACAATAAATTGTTACAAGCACCAACAACATTAAATTCTTTAAAGAAATTTGATAAACATTACAAATAAAGTGAATTGTCATAACCATAAACATCAAAATTCAGACATTGTAATTTGGTCGATTTAAAACTATTTTTTCCTTATAAAAACTAAAATATGATTTTAGGCTACACCCAATCACATATACATATCTTCCGATTAAATAAGTTATTACAAAAAAAAAAAGAAAAAAAAAAAGAAAAAAAAAACATGTTATGAATAAAAATATAATATTAGTTTCATAATTTGCTAAACGTTAACACTAATAAATAATAATGAACTTTCACAAATCTTGCACATTTTGATCACTGCATCCAACTAACAAATGAAATTCGGTTTAGAGGATTCATTCAAAAAGTGCATTCATGACTTATTATAGCTGAATTTTGGAAAATGTTAAAACCAACTGAGATATAAGGGAATGGTCTGTGAGGTTACGGTTGGTTTCTATAGGGTAATACAAATTCAAAACCGTTAGCACATCTCTTTCCTACCTGCTTCAATTATCAAATTTAGATCAAACTTGTCAAAATCAAATTATAAAAAAATAATAAAAAAAATAACCAGATATGTAACCTAACAATCAAACAACATATATTTCATTGAATTAAATATCATAAATCTACAATTTTACACTTTATATATTATTCTTAAATTATATATTACATTTTCATCTTTAATGGCTAGTAATACCTCTTTCTATTTTATAAGAGAAATAAGTATAGAGAAGAATTTTGACAGAGTGATACTTCATTGAAAACGCAGCAAAATTATTCATAAAGCCGCTAGGATTCTTCTATAGACCGCTAGAAGGTCTATATAGTGACAACCGATATGGTATCTATGAGAACGCACCACTTAAAATAACAGTTTTGATTAATGTAAGTGAAAAAATCATTTAGAATGCTTACCAGTTGTAATTGTTTCCACTGGACATTCAGATAACAAATTTCCAATAAATTTCAAAATTTTAAGGTTTAGCTGAACAATTTTTTCAGTTTATCAGAATTTTATTTTATTACAACCTTATATGAGTAATCAAGAATCTAAATCAAGTGAAAGAAGTAATTGTTCATTTAAATCCAGCAAAAAAATTATAATATTGTGAAATTGCATATAATTTACATGTTTGCTTATTGTCTTTGAGCTACCCAACCACTTGGATATGTACTATTATTTGATTAATTTGTTCATAAATTACATTTATAATATAAAATTTAACGATTGTTTAAATTCATTTACACTTGATTTAACAATAGAAAATGAATAAATTTATAATCATAAAACTATGCTTAATTCAACAAATTTGTTATCAAAATTAATAGAAAATTGAATTTTGTGAAGAAACAAATCAAATACACAAAAACAAATACAAAACAAAGAACATTTGAAGATCATGTCAGAAAGGTATCAATAAGATCTTTTTGACACTTTTCAATATAGATAAGTTTAATCTTTTCTCATATTCAGGATGATAAGTACAAGTGAGTAGAGAAAACAAATTTATAAACATATAAATATGCTTAATTCAAAAAATTTGTTATCAAAGTTAATGGAAAGTATTTTTGTCGAAATAATCAATTATTAAGTGTGTAGGATATTACCACTAAGGGATTTTAAGTTTTGCATCATCTTCAAGCTTCAATACAACATCAACTAATGATCATCACTTTCAAGTAAAAATCTCTACAATTTAAACATAATTATAGTAAACCTAATCAATAATGTTATAGAAAAATGTAAGGTTAAGAATAATCACATATAGCTATTGGGTTAGGTAGTTGGAAATCGAGCAATTGTAATTTAACACGTATGAGACCGATTATTATCTTCAAAATTGAAAGTATTTACTATATTAATAACAATTAAATACAAGGTCACTGTTTTGCCTTGATGAATTTTAGTATCATCGATGTACATTGAGAAAGAAATAGAATAATTAAGAAGATATATCATGTTGATTTGCAAACATATAGGATGGTCAGTGCATAGGATATGACTTTAAATTTGGGGAAGATTTGAAATTTACTTTGGGGATAACAGAAATTGATGAAGGTTTGAGCGTAAACATTGATGGACAACGTGTTTGACCAAACATTGGTCAAGATGACGTAAACAATTT